ACCCTCCCGGTTACCCCAAGTTCTTGTTCAGAACTACAGTTCCCAGCGTGCCCCGCGCGCTCGCACCGTGCCCGGCCGCGCGCCCCCACCGCGGTGCATGCTGGGGGTTGTGGTCCGCGCGCTCACCCGCCGGCGGCCCCGCCGTCCTGGCGCCCGGCTCCGCCTCGTCCTGCGGGGACACCAAAAGGGGAGGGGGAGGCGGAATTTGGGGAGGGGGCCCTGGGGCCAGAGGGAGGCGAGACGCCCCCCTCCCCAAAAACCGTTACGGGCTAGTACTGACGCTGGTGACGTCATCGTCCTTCTTTGGCGCCTCCGTGGCTTTTCTCCTGCGGGGGGTGGGGGAATAAAATTGGGGGGGGGGGGGGGGGGTCAGCGTGGGAATTGAGGGGCGCCCCCCACCCCGCACCCCCCAGAGTGTGCAGCCCCCTCCTCACCTGCGGGCCAGCATGGCGCTCATCTCCTCCATCAGCCCCCCGCCGGCCCGGGGGGCCCCGTCGGATTTGGGGGCGGGGGCGGCGGGGGGCCCCCCACTCGGGGTCTCATCCTGAGGGGACAAACGGGGTGAGGAGGGGACCCCCCCCTTCCCCCCTCCCCTACCCTGTTAATTTAATAATTAATTAATTACTCCCTCTCTGCCCCACTCACCTTCCCGACTTTCCTGAGTTTGGCCCCCGCGATGGCAGCAGCGAAGCCGGAGACCCCCCCGGGGACCCCCCCGGGACCCCCCTCCGAGCCCCCCCCGGCGGGACCCCCCGGTAATGGGGGGGCCGGGGGCACCCCCGGGGCTGGGGGAGGGCCGGGGGGCGGGGGGGGCCCCGGAGGTGGGGGAGGGCCGGGGGGTGGGGGGGGGGCTCCGGGCGGCGCAGCCGGGGGTCCTGGAGGGGGGGGGATGGGAAAAGAATTTTGGGGAGAGGGGCTGAATGGGGGGGGAGGAGCCCCCTTTATTTTGGGGGGGGGGTCGGGGTTGAAGCCCCCTCCCCACGCACCTGCAGCCGTCCCACGGCGCTCGGGCTCGTCCATCACCGGCCTGGGGTGGGGGGGAAGGATCAGCACCCCCAAACCCCCCCCCCCCCCCAAAATGAGGGGTTCCGAACGCGTCCCCCCCCCGAAATCTCGGGGGTCCCCCACCCCAATTTTGGGGTTCCCCTCACCTGTCCTGCGGCTCGGGCGGTTCCGCCGCGGAACCATCGGGCTCCGGCCACGGCAGGGGCGTTCCTGGGGGGGCAGGACACGCGCGGAGCTCGTTTTGGGGGTTCAGGGTGGTCCAGGGACCCCTCCCCTCCTTTAGGGACCCCTCCCCTCCTTTAGGGACCTCTCCAAGTGGCCCGGGGACACCCCCCGGATTTGGGGACCCCCCCCGGGGGTGGCACTGGGACCCCACCCTGGGATGGGAATCCCCCCCTGATTTTGGGGAGGGGGATTTTGGGAAGGGAGGGATTTTGAGGAGGGGGATTTTGAGGAGGGGAGGATTTTGGGGAGGGGGGTTTTTGGGGAGGGGGGATTTTGGGGAGGGGAGGGATTTTGGGGAGGGGG